AATAGATTGAGCGGCTCAACATCCTTGCTTCTTTGGTGAAACGGTTAGGAATGGAACATATTCACGTGCTAAGAACCTGGTTTAGTTCAACTGAGTGCACACTCAATTGTCGCTACTTTTATCAGTACAGTTGCCGCTCATACCACTTTCTGTCACCTACCATCAACACCTCGCCACCTTGATCGCTTGCCAGTGATAATTGCAACGAAGTTTGAGACATTTGCATTCAGACGCCCTTATCATTCCTTAATCATTTATTATCAGTTCATACTGCTCACCATCGGTGTCCCCGTCCGATCCCCTATACCACATGTAAAAGCCAACGTTCTAATGTCACCGCGGAAGCTGCAACAAAACTGTGGTATCCACACTTTGACGTCCTTATCATTTCTTATCAGTTGCTACCACTAATTCAGTCACTCTTGGATATTCATGATTGCGAACATCCTAGCGTCAATGCGAAGGCGTTACAAAACTGATGGCGTTGGCATTCCGATACCCATTATCAGCTCTTATCACTTGCTATCACATTCTCTCGCTCACCATTTGGGTCCACGTCCCTCCCCACATAATAGTCATGAGTGCAAACTCTGCCCCTATATCTACAGCTAGAAGTTTGAGCGCTCTGGGACCAAAAGGAATGAAGTTATGAATTTCCGGTCAGACACACACACACACAACCGCTTAGCCGATTATATATATACCAGTTTTGCTCCGCCCGCTATCGCGCGCATCACACGGCAGGCTTTAGCGAAACTGGAGGACCCATGGAATATCAGCATGAGGTACTCCATTAACCACCTCACTATTGAATGTGTTAGATTTCCCAGTTTCGCTGAAGCTCATCGAGAATACGCGTGATAACGTCTGGAGCTGAACTGGTATATTATCTCACAACTGTAAACATCCAGCATTCTTCTTGAATTCAGATAATTTAGCGGTGAATAGGATTGCTGTCAGTCTCAAAATGAAAATGAAATATGCCTATTTACATAAGTGAGGAGCTAAGGCTTATCATTTATTTACATTCACCATTATTTAGAACCCCGAAAGGATTAGCGGTTTAATGAGTTTGGGCTTTCTTGATAGGAATGAAAGTTATCATTTGCTGAAGACTTGATTGAGTTTATGCAATAGACTGCTATTAAGTAAGCTGGTCATACAATGATACAATGTGCACGTACCACTACAAATAGAATTTGTAAGTAGGGACGCTCTAGTGTCAGCGCAAGCTGCGTAACGGAATCGACGACTTTTGCGTTCTGACGCGCCTTATCAGCCTTTATCAGTTGTAACCACTTTCCATCACCCACCAACAATGTCCCCGTCCCACCCCACATAACACTTGTAAGTATGGACGCTCTGGTGTCAACGCGAGCCAGGTAACGGAATCGACGACTTTTGCGTTCTGACGCCCCTTATCAGCCCTTATCAGTTGTAACCACTTTCCATCACCTACCAACAATGTCCCCGTCCCACCCCACATGACACCTGCGAGTATGGACGCTCTGGTGTCAACGCAAGCTGCGTAACGGAATCGACGACTTTTGCGTTCTGACGCCCCTTATCAGCCCTTATCAGTTGTAACCACTTTCCATCACCTACCAACAATGTCCCCGTCCCACCCCACATGACACCTGCGAGTATGTACGCTCTGGTGTCAATGCAAGCTGCGTAATGGAATCGACGACTTTTGCGTTCTGACGCCCCTTATCAGCCCTTATCAGTTGTAACCACTTTCCATCACCTACCAACAATGTCCCCGTCCCACCCCACATGACACCTGCGAGTATGGACGCTCTAGTGTCAACGCAAGCTGCGTAACGGAATCGACGACTTTTGCGTTCTGACGCCCCTTATCAGCCCTTATCAGTTGCTATCGCTTCCATTCATGTACCACCAATTGTCCCGGGACCACCCCTACATAACACTTGTAAGTATAGACGCTCTAGTACCAATATGAACGACAAAACGAAATTGGCGATGCTCGCTTTCTAGCCCCTCTTATCAGCTATTATCAGTCGTTATCAGTTCCTATCACGTACCACTTGAGTCCCCATCCCACCCCCTATAAATATATGTAAGAACCATGGCGCTATCATTGCTGTGACCCGAGCTACGAATTTCGTGACAAACACACACACACACAGACCTACACACACACACACACACAGACATACTTAGCGAATTATATATAGTAGGATATAGTAATACTCGATAACCGATAGTTGTGGCAAGTAGGCTACTTCCTGATCAGTGACTAAATAGTGTCTGAACCCTGAAGGTTTTAAATCCTACTATATATAAGCGGCTAGCGTGTGTCTGTTGGTGTGTGTGTGTGTGTTTGACCGGAAATTCATAGCTCGAGTCACAGTAACGATAGCGCAGTGGTTCTTACATATGTTATAGGGGGTGGGATGGGGACACAAGTGGTACGTGATAGGAACTGATAACGACTGATAATAGCTGATAAGAGGGGCTAGAAAGCGAGCATCGCCAATTTCGTTTTGCCGTTCATATTGGTAAAAGAGCGTCTATACTTACAAGTGTTATGTGGGGCGGTCCCGGGACATTGGTGGTACATGATTGGAAGCGATAGCAACTGATAAGGGCTGATAAGGGCGCGTCAGAACGCAAAAGTCGTCGATTCCGTTACGCAGCTTGCGTTGACACTAGAGCGTCCATACTCGCAGGTGTCATGTGGGGTGGGACGGGGACATTGTTGGTAGGTGATGGAAAGTGGTTACAACTGATAAGGGCTGATAAGGCGCGTCAGAACGCAAAAGTCGTCGATTCCGTTGCCTGGCTCGCGTTGACACCAGAGCAACCATACTTACAAGTGTTATGTGGGGTGGGACGGGGACATTGTTGGTGGGTGCCAGAAACTGATAACGATTGATAAGGGCCGATAAGGCGCGCCAGAACGCTGAAGTCGTCGATTCCGTTGCCTGGCTCGCGTTGACACCAGAGCAACCATACTTACAAGTGTTATGTGGGGGGGGGGGGGACATTGTTGGTGGTGCCAGAAACTGATAACGATTGATAAGGGCTGATAAGGCGCGTCAGAACGCAAAAGTCGTCAATTCCGTTACGCAGCGTTGACACTAGAGCGTTCCTACTTACAAATTGTAGTAAGTCGTAGTAGTACAAACAAAGGTACGTGCACATTATTTCGATATATATCCAGCTTACTTAATAGAATTCGACTGCATAAACTTTAAAAAACAAGTCTTCAGCAAATGATAAGTTTCATTTCTGACTATTAAGAAAACCCAAACTCATTAAACCGCTAATCCTTTCGTGGTTCTAAATAATGATGAATGTAAATGAATGATAAGCCTTAGCTCCTCACTTATGTAAATAGGCATATTTCATTTTGATTTTGAGACTGACAGCAATCCTATTCACCGCTAAATTATCTGAATTCAAGAAGAATGCTGGATGTTTACAGTTGTGAGATAAATATGCCAGTTCAGCTCCAGACGTTATCACGCGTATTCTCGATGAGCTTCAGTGAAACTGTGGAGGGTCTAACACAGTCAATAGTGAGATGGTTAATGGAGTATCTCATGCTGATATTCCATGGGTCCTCCAGTTTCGCTAAAGCCTGCCGTGTGATGCGCGCGATAGCGGGCGAAGCAAAACTGGTTTCCAATTAAACTGTCTTGAACCGGGACATGGAGATCAGTCTTGGGTGGAGGATCTTCAGGGTGGATGACCTGGAGCAGAAAATTCTGATAAGATGTGGACAGGATGTGTGGGCAGGATGCATGATGGGGATGTATGTGGGATATCCACCGGTCCTCATCAAAAGTGCACATCAAACGAGTTGCTCACACAATCTTACCCTTGAGCGCTCCCCTCCCCCAAAATTGCCCCTGAAACAATGCTCTTGCAATACTGGAGCGAAATTCTGCAAACGCGCAGCAGATGGAGTGTCCATAAGACTTCCGTGGAACTGCGTCAATGCTGAAGAAGACTATTTTGAAGACCGTTAATATTCTTGTTTTGTCATTTAGTGAATAAGTTCCATAGTTAGATTTGATTTACGAAAGTCCATTCCGAAATGAAATTGGAAACACAGCTGCACCAGTAATTTTGCCCCATAAAGTGAATACGCCGAGGAGCGGAATTCAGATGTGTCCTTTGAGGCGGTGTGAAATGGAAAGTTAGTGAGATCATGGGAGGGTAATCCTGCGAAGAAATCGAAATTCCGCTTCTTTCGTGAGGTGCTACGGCACAACAAAAAGACATTGAGAGCAGATGCAAGCGAGGGAGCAGAGCGGCGAGTGAGACGCAGACACCGCGATGCGTAGTTTCTACATTACAAGCAGCAATAGTGGTAAGCAGGGGAACGAAATGGCATTAATGATCGGGGCGCAACGGCTTAAGCTCTTTCACACACACACGATCAACAGGGGGGGGGTCCAATGTCCTCTATCTCAACTGAATTTAATGTTCACACCTTCTTGACCTTTTAGTGCTATTCCATAGAATTTTTATTCGAAACCTTTGAAGCAGTACAAAGTATGGGCCTGGCAACTACAATGAAAATTACCACAAAATGACCACACCAGCTTTCCTATCTATAATAACTATACGTGTGCTCTGCTTCATTTTCCTCTACCTTTTACTCTCAACACTAAACAATTTTTGTCATAATACTGACATTTAGGTCTTGAAAATGGAGGTTTTTGTACTCACGGAGTTGATGGCCAGAGGCGGTCGTCACTTTTGCAGAATAGAAGATAAAGGAAGATACGGGAACTTTTATTTTGTTGTAATGACTCTTGCTGGCAAGTCACTGAATGAACTGCGGAAGGCACGTAATCCTCAGTGTCTCAGCCTGGCTTGTGCTATTTCTGTAGGCATACAATGCTTAGAAGCTATAGAAGGTGAGTCGCAGAATAGTTTGTCTGTTAGGATAACTTATCTGTAGGCTGCAATGTGGAGATTTCTCAAGCGACCTGGAAGGATTAGTTAGTTCAGATCTTCATGGAATCGGTTATCTTCATCGTGACGTTAAACCGGGCAATTATACTATAGGACGACCAGAACTGCAAGAGTTGCGCAAAATTTACATCCTTGATTTCGGACTGTGCAGAAAATACACGAACGATGAGGTCCGTTCAGATTTTCACAGAATCTAGGTTAATATTTAAAATACGTAGGCTAGGACATTATTTGTTTTCTCAATAGATTTACCAGGAACTGGTAACGGCAGAGACCACCAGAACGTGCCAACTGATGTCCTCTATGTAAAGAAGGGAAAGCAGAGCGGCGGCGAACTTCACTCCAGGGTGGTTGACCAGGCCCTGTCGCGCTTCTCGATGCACCTCTTTGCGCTCCGGGAGCAATCATGTAATGAAGGGCTATAAATCATTTCCCATTAACGGCTGTTTCGATGCCGAACGTGGAGTAAAACATTATCCCGTTAACGGCAGTTTTCACGGCTTCATCATGATGAATAATATGTACCACCAACTGCACATATATTGAATATTTCTCAAGAACAAAGCCTGAGATATTCGGAATTTGGTAATGAACTAAAACTGTGGTGTTTGATGGAAAAAGTGTGAGTTCACAGTTAAAGAATCAATTGGACACATAACGTCGGCTTCATATAGGTTCGCTTCCCTTTTTCCTCGCTTTTCATCCACTTTGCCCCAAAACTTCCTTCTTCGTGATCGAGAACCACGCTACTTGGACCATTGGAGATCCTCGGGCAAAGGGAAGCGTCTAGGATTGAGAGGGTAGCGTCTAAAATTCCTCTCCTGTTAAACTCATTTGATCTCATCCATCACAATAGATAAGACAACAAGCCAACACGACCTGCCTCCCTGCCTTTCGTCCCGCAACAAGCCTATTGCACATTTATCTTACCTGCTCACCTCGATTTCTTCAGGGAATAATCCGGAAACCTCGATCAGTAGCTAAATTTCGTGGCACGGTTCGTTACGCTCCTCTTTCGTGTCATATGAAAACGGAGTTCTGCAGAAAAGACGACGTAGAAACTTGGATATATCAACAAGTAGAGCTCACAGTTGGAAGAGTTCCTTGGAAAGAAATAAAAGATGAGAAACAGGTTATTTAATATTTTATAGTGAGAAATTGTCACAGAGACGACCTTTGGTTTTTAGGTTGGCGAGTACAAGAAGAAGTGTCGAAACCCACCAGCGCTGCAGGAGCTTTTCGCCAAACCATGTCCAAAGGAATACATAGAGATATTTCAGCTTGTCGATTCGTACAAATACTATGACCAGCCTGACTACCACCAAATCTATTCCGTGCGTATTTACAATACATACAAATAGCAACAGTCTCTTTCCCCCCACAGCTGCCTTATTCGCCCTCTTCCTGCTTGTGCTACGCGCCTCGCGCTGCAGCAGCGCTTTCTTCAGGTCTATGCTCAAGAGTTCGTGGAGTGACCGGTCCCGATTCTTTCATGAAAGAGTAGTGCAAGCTACAGTATTGCTCAGGGTTGACGATGAAGGCGAATGAGTGATTAGGCGACTAGCCGATCACACGAGAAAAAATTATGGGCATCGACTATTTCATAGGTATAGGGACACCCTAAATCAAGTGATGGTCCAGTGTAAGCTGTTCCAACTTGACGTACGCTTTGGGTAGCTTTGACAACCAATATATTGCTCACGCTGAACCTACTTATATTTCACCGAGGTAAAATCTCAATGTCACTAATTTAGACGTCTTTCTTTGATACGTTTGACCCTTGAACTGAGACTTTTTTGAACCTAATCTATCGACGTGTTTTGAGGAATTTCTATCACTTCTAGTAACACCTAACCATCTAAAGAAAATTTGGCTGACCAACGCTGGACCAGACCTGGGTTTTCATTTAGGGACCATGCGTGTAGAAGCAGTTCCTCTTCTCACCACGCCATCTTCGCCAGAATGATCATTTTTGGAATATACATGGCAATTTCTTTACCATTTACAAATGCACAATTTAGTATGGAGATCGTGCGAGACTTACCTATTTGGAAGCTGCGCGCACAGACCGGTACCCTTTGGTACACTTCGCTTTATTGACTCATCCACAGCAACTTGCGTTGACGTTGACTTGCGACGATTTGTCGTCACACGAATTATAACGTTTCTAGAGCACAGGTCGTCATCAAGCGGGCGCTCGTGTCTATAGTCCCAGAAGTGTGGTAGTCCCCGGCGACCACCCCCTCATTTCGCTGCGTAACCTTGACGCGCAAAAAAATGTCCCTTAACCTCGTCTCCCTACCCTCCTCTCCTCACTCCACTACTCCATAGTTGCCACCCAGCACCATGTGGAATGACCAAGAGTGAGTAGGTGTTTATATAGCCGCTGGGCTGATATCACAATCATGTCATTGCAAAACATTGATGGCTCAAGTCCTGGGAGCTACCCAGTGGTAGGCGGTCACATGGCGCTATTGGCATTGAGCGCACAGGCCGCAATTGCCCCATCCTGCAGCAGCCGGACGGCTCGTCCGCATCACTCAACTACTAGACGTCAATAACTGACCGGTCTGATGACGTGTCCCAAAAAGCGCCAAAGATTTTGAAAAGAGCAGAAAGCTTCTGTTGACTCGATGCCAAGGCAAGAGGAACGGAGCAGAATGTGTTGTGCGGACGAGTTGTTCGGTCACAGCAAGATGAGGTATTTACGGCATGTGCGCCCAATGCCAATGGTATCGCGCCATATGACGCACACCCCTAGCCTGTTCTGTTAGCGGCTTGTTTATACCTTTAGCTGTCTTATCACTCACTTCAATTTGCGGACGGGCAGAGAAACGTACTTGTGTACTCACAAACAAACCGACACACCAAACTTTTGGTTCATATAATGAAGTAAACACTAGAATTGTCGAGTTATCACAACCTGAATAATCCAATGAATCTATAATAATATTGCTCCTCAGTTCCGTTGGCGGTGGGTATTCCAATCGCTTCCCTGTTACATCGACGGGGCATTTGCTGACAACAGGCAGAAATAACGCACCCGACATATTAATTAACCAAGAGGGGGGGGGTTCGTAGAATAGTATGAGAATGCAATGCTTCCTTACTCCGCGAATTTTGCACTTCTCATTACGATAGATAATTTATTGTGACATCTTTGGATAATCTTATTGTTTAAGCTTATGCGGAGAGCTCTACAGAACTGCGGGCAACCAGAGTTTCCGTACGATTGGGAACAATAACCGAATTTCAACTTTGTCGACATTTCAACTGAACAAATAAAGATGTCTGTATCAATAAATTAATTAATACTTGTAGAAAAGATGTTTATCTGTCCAGAAAAAGGTATGTTGTACTACAAGGAAGAAATGATGAAGCACCTATCAATGACAAATCCTTGCTGGCAAACTAGCGGAATAATTTCGGAGCGCCATACTGGCGCCACATACCGCCGAAGCCAAAAAAAAACGCCATATTCGTGATCAGGACCCTGATTTACCCCCATATGCAAATTTCAGGAAAAATCGAGGTTTTGACCTAACTTCGAAAAAGGGGGTGACCATGGGCTACAGGTCGTCATGCACGCCGGCGGGCGACTTGAAACGAGCGCGGCGCGGAAATGAAGCGTAATGCTCTGGTGATTCACGGAACCCAGAGTTTTGCTTCACAGAGAACATCCCACACCATGTCGCTCCAGCTATCGAGATGGAGCCGTGGAGTGTCGGGTCTTGATGGGGAAAAGGTCTTGCTAACTCCAACATTATGCATGCCCTGTTGTACATTGCTAGCTTGGCTGTCCGCCATTTTTCATTTAGCTATGGAACTTCTCAGTAATTCTCAGCATACAACTACAAAAAATTCGATTTCAGTTGACTGGTTGGAGATTACCTGTGAGCTACCCATCACTTATCAATGGCCAATTTTTCGGATCTGGGACATAATCTCAGTTTTTTATACCCCTCTATCATAAGGGAATATCGATTGCTCCGATTACGAATATGACATCCACTTTCCCGGTAGCTTCAATTTACTCCACTTTGGCGCCATTTAGCGCCCCTCTGGCGCGAAGCCAGATTACGATAATCTGAAAGTAATAGCTTCTGATAGTTTTATAATGAATATGGTATCTATTGTTGGCGCTGATGCTATTTGGAGCGACTTTGAAGGGATTGGACCTTGGACCATTTTCTCACCATCTTTTGGCCTTCGCGGGACCGCTCGTCGGAAATGGACCTTGACGAAATTGACGAAATAATAAGGCTCGTCTTAGGAAGGAGCGAAACAAATCATTTTAATTATTTCGTTTGAAATGGTTTTTTCTTTCTTAATTGTAGCTCACGCATGAGCTCCTGGAACACGCAGGAAACCGTTCTGAAAAAGCTTTCCACACCGTGAACGACTTTCCTTGTTAGTCCCGGAGCATGCCCCGGATATTGCAATATCGCTCTTTATTAAGACCAGATTAGTCCCCCGTCAACCGCCGGGACCTTCCTTTCCTGCGCAAGCTTTCTATCCTCCGCTATGGTCCCTTCCTCCTGTGACACCAACACCTCGAAGTGACGCGTATGCAACACAATGGTGTTTCATACAGTAGAAGGGACACAATCATGATATAGACTTTTCGCTTCCCTTCCTCATCCTCCCTTCCTCTCTCCACTGCCCTCCAGCTGCCACTGCAGCACCATGTGGAATGAACGGAAGTGTGCTAAGCAGGTGTTTATATAGCCGTAAGAGTGTTATCACAATATCCTGCTACAAAACATTGATCTCCTGCGAGCTACCCGATTTGTTAGCGGTTTGTTTATCCCATGAGCTTCCTTATCACTCACTTCATTTTGCGGACGGACACACAGACATACATACATACATACATACAGACATACAAACGACACACAAAGTTAGCGCTTTATAAAATAGAAGGATGGGACTGCAAACAATGACTACTAGGAGAATGTAACGAGTGGAAGATATAGAGGGGAAGGGGGACAGTCCCTAAAATTTTGTGAAAGCCAAGGAGGGGAACGATAAGGTCGATGATCGAAGAAGGGGAAATTTACCTCGCGAGATGACAGGCACACCCCCTAGGGTTACAGGCTGACACGCAATTCGCAGCGAAAGGTATGCCCCGGCAATCTAGCATGGCCCTCCCAGAGGCGCTATCGGTTCACTGTTGGCGGGTGCGGCACGCCTCCCTGTCGCTGTCCGATCCTCTAGCCGTTTAGCAGAGAGCGCGTTAGCTTTACTAGAAGAGAGCGGCACCGATAGCAGTCAACACGGCGCTAATGTGAACAACGGACAAAGAGCGTTTCCATTTCTCTAATTCTCGGCCTTCTTCATGGTTTTTCGTCTCTGCACCACTCACCACCCTTTATTTCTACTGAGCTGCCTTGTCGTCGTGGAATCCTCTTTTAAGGAAATATGAATGAGGACACACGTTTTCACAGCTCTGGCGCAGCATGTTGGATAATGAAATGCTGAGTCCTCATGAGGGAGTGAACGACTGTCTTTCACAGTTTTGAATATGAGAATGAGAAACACATTTTCATTGTTTTGCTGAGCAGTGCCAATAAACAATGATTTTCTTCTAGGGATAAGAGTAGGTATAAAAATCACCGAGCTGACTACGGCAAACATTTTACCGTGACGCTCGTCTACACTCGGCTCTTTGATGGGGGAGACCATCGCCCCAGGCACTCAAGTGAGACAAGCCTGCGTTTCATCGACGAATTGTTGCGGAGGGTGTCCGGATCTGCTGTATACACACTGCTATCCGATTTTCAGATTGAACGATGGTATGTGGAGAAGAAACTTGGAGAAGGAGGATTCGGCGCAGTGTACAAAGTAAGCTCTGACCAGTTATTTTTCGACATGTGAGAATCGTCCTCATTTAGGTTCGAGACCAAACAGGACAGTATGCATTAAAAGTGGAAGGCGTCGATGAGAAAGTGCAGGTATGTTTGTTCTTATCAAATCACGGAGCAACATGAGTGACCCTGAAATAATGCGAGGGTTACGTCATTGGGTTCAGGAACCACAGGCGACACAGATGTACATATTTGAAGCGCTTGGAATACTTCCAGGCAGAGTAATCGAAATTGGCCTAGTTTGTGAAATGAGCTATGCACACGACCTCCATTGAAACTGTAGCAATCAAGCAGAATGATAAATATACTCGATATCGGTGAGTTGGGGTGGGCGTGTCACCGGAAGTGACGTGCACTTGATAGAAACTATGTGGATAAGCTGCTTCCAACATACATCGCTGGATATCAGCAAAGCATGCTGGCAACAGCTTATCCACGCAACTTCTATCAAGTGCACGTCACTTCCGGTGACACACCTACCCCAACTTTCGGATATCGACTGTACCTGCAATCGTATAACGTGATGTGCATAGAAGTGAGCGGTTCTATGGACTAACATTTCAAATCCGATTCGAAAAGGTAAACGAGATTGAATTAGGAAGGTCCACCTTCGATGGGCGGGATGTTCTATAAGGTAGCGATGCATCACCTCACCTGTATCAGGCGGTCATTCAGGTGTTCGATTGGCGTACTGAGGGATCCAGTCGGTGACGGTGACCGCCTCAGTGCAACGATCATCACAAAAACGCATATACGATATAGGTTTATCCAAACCCGTCCTCGGATTATGAACGCCCGATAACGCATATATAGGCAAACGGCTGACTTGGCGTGACGAACCTTGCGACTGCATCCCGGCCATTTAGAATCAATCACGATTTTGATCTGTCCTGCACTCAACGGTAAGGCAGAGATTGTCACGGAGTTGCTAGAGGTGGGCCAACGGATGCCTCTTTCGTCTCTTAACGCTATCGTCAATACATCCACTCCCTCGATGTTCCTAAACGCTCCCCACGCACTGCTTCCAGCTACGATCGGAAGATTCAACAAACATTATTGAACCGTAGCCCGGGCCTGAGCACCCTTCGCATCGCGACTTGACTGCGTTGGTCGTGGGGTGTTGGCGCCCGATCAATTGAGTAGGCTGGGAAACGTAGGGAGTGCGGGTGGGATTGAGGTAAACGCATGTTTCCTCCTGCTCAGGTCCCTGGCTAGGTCATAATGTTGATACTTCCGACGTAGCTTGGAGCAGTGTGATGTTCTTCACGTTGAGCTGAACGGGCATCATGAATCCTAATTTGTTTTCTGCCCATAAACTCGTGTTCGTTAGGTTCGGCTGGTAGGAGTTTCCTTACCAACACGGCTGCAGTGGAATAAGCAAACCATAATCACTGAGGCTGCGATTTTGGCGTTATTCAAGAACGATATCGTCAAACGAAAGAGTGTATTGTCGGTTCATCGACCTTGACTCACATGTGTTCCCATTCCATGTGACGTGGTTGAGCATGACGTTCTCGATAGCGGCGATGAAGAGTTTGGGCGAGATGGTGTCGCCCTGTCGAACCCCTCTCTTGACGTCGATGATGACCTCCTTGTAGAATGGTGAGATCCTGGTCGTAAAGTTGCTGTAGAGCTCACGAAGAATCTTGATGTACTGAGTAGGGACGCCCTGGTTGCCCAAGGCTTCGATGACCGCTTCTGTCTCCACAGAGTCGAAGGCCTTCTTCAAGTCGATGAACGTGAGACAAAGCGGCATCTTGTACTCCCGTGAAACTTCAATGAGTCTCGTAACCGTGTGGATATGGTCGATCGTGCTGAACCCTCTTCGAAACCCTGCTTGCTCGCATGGCTGTCCTTCATCTAGTATTCTGCCGATCCTGTTAAGGATGACTCGAGTGAATAGCTTGTAGATTACAGACAGCAGGCAGATTGGGCGATAGTTGCCAATGTCGTCCAGGTCTCCCTCTCTGTACGACTCAAACAGCCCCGTGTTTTTCTACGGATGGCACCTTGCACCGGTAGCGGTGAAGAGTCGAGCCAGAGTTTTGATGATGACTGGCGGCGCATTCTTCAGATGTTCCGGTTTGACCCTGTCGAGACCGGGTGCTGTACGATTCTTCACCGACTTGATGGCGTGTCGGACTTCGGAAGAGAGAACTGAGGGGACGACGTATCCATCCTGTTGCAGTTGATAAGTAGGCAGATGGACATGGCTATCGAAGAGATCCGAGTAGAAGTCGTGGATGACTTTCTCCATTGCCCTTCGGGATGCAGTAACTGTTCCATCCGGACGTCGGAGGCAGGTCATCTTGGTCTTGTAGCTGGCAAAGCTTCGGCGGGCATTGCGGATGCTCCTCCCAGCCTCTGCTGCTTCAGCTAATACTGCTGCTCTTCGCTCCTTGAGATCTTCCTTTATCGCCTCTCTGCATAGCTTCGCAAGCTCGGACGTGAGTCGGTGATTGCCTGCAGCTCGTGCGGCTCCACGCTGGCGTATCAGTTCGAGAGTTTCCGGAGACAGACGTCCCTTGGTGACTTTCAAACTCTCTGCCTTCTTGCCACAATCGTGAAGATGTTCAACGAGCCGATAGTACTCCTCGTCGATGTTTTCGATGACGGAATCCTCCCATAAGCTGACGAGGGAAGCGAAGTGGTCCCAGTTGATGACTGTCCTGGGCTTCGCTTCCTGAACTTTGCTGCTCTCTCAACACGCATCGAAAAGTGGAACTTTGCGCGGAGGAGACGATGGTCCGATCCCGTGTAGAACTTCGGAACAACAGCGACGTCGGTCAGGCAAAACCTTCGATTGAAGATGATGTGGTCTATCTCGTTATGGAACTGTCCATCAGGTGACTCCCAAGTCCAACGAAGGTGAGGGGGCTTTTGGAACTGTGAGTTACCATGGATGGTGTTGGTCGACATGATAAACTCCGACAGTCTCTCACCCTGCTCATTCCATTCCATTCCGTGAGTACCGATGTGAAGTTCTTCAGCCGTTCTTCTTGGGCCAATCTTAGCGTTGAAGTCGCCGACGATGACCTTGAAGAAGGTATGATCTTCCCTGTAGAACTTCTCCAATTCCATATAGAATGCTTCGTGTTCTTCTTCGTCGTAGCTGGATGTTGGTGCGTAGGCGACGAAGATTGTCAAAGCAGGAGTTGAACCACATCTTCTCAATCTCAAACGTCCGATTCGGGTCGTAAGGCTTTCGTACGAATCGATGTTTATGGCCAAGTGCGTGTTGACGAGGACACCCACACCGCCAACGCCGCATGCTTCCAAGGAACAGTTCTTCTCCAGTATCGAAAACGGCGTGTAGCGGGCGGTGCCTTCTCGTCTCGGTCAGTCCGATGACGTCGTACTTGATCTTCCTGGCCTGCATCATCAGATCTTCGATGTGAGCTTCGGATGCAAGCGTTCGTGCGTTGAAAGTACAGATCGCCATCTTAGTCCTTCTTCGTTTAGGCAGCCTATCCGGGCCCTGAGATTCTAGCAGCCTCTCCCGAGCGGTCCTACCCAACGCTGCCGTATTGGGGGCTCCCTCAGGTTCAGGGGAATGAGGCCCATCCATATTGCTGTTTTCGGCATATTGAAGGCACACGAGTAGCTTGCCAGGCTCTGTCGTGCGGGCTAGGATAGACCTCCAGCCACGCTATCCTGGAGCGGTACAGAGCACACCATACGGGCTTATTTTTTGGAGGCGGCCCCGAATCGCCTCCCATGTACTTCCCAGTCACTTGAATGCAAGCTTTTGGCTGTGCCGACATGCAGGATACCAACCGCACACACACAGAGCGCACCACACACGCAAGCATGCATGGATGCGCCTGAGTGGAGACAGCTGGTATGAATCAACACAGCACTACAGAAACAGGGAGTCCATCCCCTGAATCCACCTGCGTCTCAGGGCAAGTACATGGTGGCTTTTGGTCCGCGATTTACCCCCTATCCGCCACCTGGGGTCGCGCCACGTAGCCTCGCCACCAACCGGCTCGAGATCTTTCAGTGAGAGAGGACCCTCAGTGAAAGAGATCCGTGGCCCTTGGGAGCACGTAATGAAAATGTCTGCTCAGTTTCGTGACTTTTCATTAAAATTGAAATGTCAGTCTCTATGCTATAATTACTTTATTACCACATTGTGACGGATCATGTTGACTGTAAACTTGAGCTGCTCCGTTTTCTTCCTTATTTCCAACTCACAGCTCTGAAAGACTTTTACCTTTGTACTGAGATTTAGGTGTTGAAAATGGAAGTATTTGTACTCACGGAACTGATGGCTCGGGGTGGTCGCCACTTCTGCAGAATAGAAGACAAAGGAAGATACGGGAACTTCAACTATGTAGTCATGACTCTTGTGGGGAAGTTCTGCAGGACTTGCGAAAGGCGCGTAATCCTCAGTCCCAGCCTTGCTTTGTTCGATTTCTGTAAGGTATACAGGCTTGAGCTCTTGAAGTAGAGTGAAAGAGCATTCTATCTTATCCTTTATTTATTACCAGATTAGTCCCCCGTCAACCGCCGGGACCTTCCTTTCCTGCGCAAGCTTTCTATCCTCCGCTATGGTCCCTTCCTCCTGTGACACCAACACCTCGTGGAAGTGACGCGTATGCAACACAATGGTGTTTCAAACAGTAGAAGGGACACAATCATGATATGACGGTAGATTTTTCGCTTCCCTTCCTCATCCTCCCTTCCTCTCTCCACTGCCCTCCAGCTGCCACTGCAGCACCATGTGGAATGAACGGAAGTGTGCTAAGCAGGTGTTTATATAGCCCTGAGAGTGTTATCACAACTATCCTATCTACAAAACATTGATATCTCAAATCCTGTAAGCTACCCGATTTGTTAGCGGTTTGTTTATCCCATGAGCTTCCTTCTCACTCACTTCATTTTGCGGACGGACACACATACACATACACACACACTCACACACACACATACAGATACACAAACCGACACACAAAGTTAGCGCTTTATAAAATAGAAGGATATCGTCAAACAAATCCCTTAAATAAAACTTGAAAAATATGTATAGCACAAACAATAATATTAAATCACGTAAAAGCCTTCCGGAATGCTGTTGTACAATGGCATATCAAACAATCACGACTTGCGCCTGAGGCACTCAGCGAGAAATGCATTCCCGCGTTGCGGTTGAAACGTTGGACGAGATAAACTGTCAAATGTGTTTTTGGGAACACGCCGCGGCGTCTTCTGCTTTGAAGAGGAACCACGTCCAGCACACGCACTGCTCGTAAATACTAATGTATCCAAGAGATTCTTGAAGAAGCCCAAACTCGCGGTACCGCGAATGAAAGCAGCCTTGTAGGGATCTGGAGCACCGTGATTCGTGCCCCTTGAACGCTTACAAGCTGTGTACAAATAAATTGGACGAGGTTGCTCAACGGATGCGCAGACGAAGCATACCCTCAAGTATGCGCGTCTTGGGACAGCTTGGGGAGGCGAAGTGGGAGTCATGTGAAACACACAAACCGGCGTCTATCTAATTCATGTCGTATAACTTCGTATAATGTATGCGATAGGCAACGTCTCCATTCGTCCCTGTCGCGTGCTAGAGTGGTCCAGTGGATCCTCCTTGCTCGAGGGACACGAAGTCCATCATTCCTTTCGTTCAGAGCTTTCGTGAAGAAGTCTGACCATCGGGCCGGCGGTCGTCCAGGTGTTCGTTTGACGTCCCGAGGGATCCAGTCGGTAACCGCTCTGGTCCAACGGTCATCGCAAAATCGCATGACGTGTCCGGCCCACCTTATCTTCGATTCCTTGGCGAAAACGGCAGCGTCCCTGATCTTCGATCGTTGGCGTAGTTCGGCACTCCGGATTCCCCTCTGCACTTGCGTGTAAGGGTTACTCGCTTGGATAACGCTGACCGCATGCTCGTCCTGCCTGCGCAGAGTCCAAGTCTCTGAGGCGTAGGTTAGGGCAGGAAGGACAGCGGAATCGAAGAGGTGGGCACGGAGCCGGATGTTCTTCGTCTTCTTCACTACTCCCTCGATGTTCTTGAATGCTCCCCATGCCGCTCGTTTCCTCCTGCTCAGCTCTGGAGCTAGGTCGTTCATCATATTGATTTCCCGACCTAGGTACACGTAGCTGGGTTGGGAGCTGGTCAGTCGAGATTGATTAGGACAAATTTAATTCCCAAAACAGATCAAAAGAAAGGTTCTCCTTTACGTTGGTGTAGTGTTCGAGGTGTGCACTACAGCAAGTACTAGTATGAGAAAATTGTTGTGGCAAAACTTATTCCAAACATTCATATTTTTGATACAAAAGGATTTTAATCTACCTTTCATTCACTAGTATGGTCTACAGCTTGTGCGCAACGATGCGGCCGATTCAGCTCCAAAAACTCGAAGCATCTCGTTTTCAAAAGTTGTGTGATCATTGAATTCTTCACTGAGAAGGTGGTCTTTAACAGGCATTCCAGCTGGTAATGAGCATGGGCTAGCAAAAACGTAAAATATGTAAAATAAATAGCTCAAAATAATAAACATGTGTAGCTCTTTCTTCAAAATATGTAGCTCTCTCCATTCGCGTTTGACAGCTTTGAGCGCTCCGAAACAAGCGATCGGACGTCGTCTTGCTTAGGAGAAACTTTCGCATTTCAAGTGCTCCCGACGGATAGGTTACGAAATGCACGTCCTACCGGCCAGTGAACCGAAATCGATGGAAAGCTGGGAAACTAAACGCTCAACTAGGTGTGACGGCTCTGTTTGCTATTCACCATCCTTGTGTCAAAATCTTGTCTTGTGCTAGTTTTGCGAGAATCAAATTAACAAAAGAAAACAAAGGACGATGTTCTCAAGGAATATCATGTGATTTTCCATGGGGCATTTAGGGAAGGAAGAAGGAAAGTGATATGCGAGCAGTTTTTCAAACAGAACATATTTCATAAAATCTGGGCGGCCAGGGCGAGCATGTACAGGCGTGGTGGGATGCAAGCCTATTCGGATACCGGATGTTCTACACTGAAAACAAACGCGCTACTCTACTGTCGCCATGGGTCTACAACGGCAATCGATTTTTCCATCTTGATTCGTTCTAACATCCTTAATTTCTTAACTGTACTCAATTGCTATTGTGGTTCCTCAGAACGAAGTCTACAGATACAACAATTCAGATCTGCATGGCATCGGATATCTTCATCGTGATGTGAAACCTGGCAATTATACTATAGGACGACCAGAACTGCAGGAGTTACGCAAAGTTTACATCCTCGACTTCGGCATGTGCAGAAAATATACAAATGACCAAGTCTGTTAACATTTTCGCAACCTGAACATTTGTTTGGCTTAGAGACTGAGTGATAATAGGAGCTGCGTTTACTCTTCTCACGATAAGACGCACAGAAGTCGATATGGGTGCAGCAGTTGAGCAGTAAGTATCCGATTAATCCGTTTAAAGGAGTTGGGAATGAGTAGTGGAAATGGTCACAATGAGAGGGCAACAAGTCGATCCGGCCGAGTGCAACAAAGTACTCACTCCTGTATATGACTGAGCGCTGAGGTTAGGGCAGCGGGTTGAGATTAAGTCCTAAGAGCCAGTTTCCCTCCCCCCTCCCAGAGTAGAAAAAAGGAGTCGCAACATTGTCGCGGCGCGAATGTGCAGGACAACGGCCTGAGGCCTTGCCTTGTGTGCTGTTATGCTGCTATCTCTCGTGTTTTCCCTCTCCTCGTCGCGTTGTACCTCTCCAATATACCACGACTGGCTTCACGGGAGATTTAAGTGTTTTTGTGTACTTTTGCTATTTTTCCAACTGAAATTAGGTCC